TCCCCCCATTATTTTCCTACATCAGTAGGTCTAGTACATAATGATGAGAGCTACTAAGAAATGTTTACTTAGGAGAGATTCAAGATGGCCGAATAGGGAGAGAGCCCAGATGGCCAAATAGAAACAGCTCCTCAGTGCAGTTCCCAGCAAGAACAGCACAGAGGGTGAGTGCTCACCGCATTTCCAAAAAAGTTTTCACTGCCCACATACCAGGAAATTCCTGGGCCAAAAAGCGCCACAAGTTTTCAATGCGGCAGTTTCAGCCAGTACCGGATTGGCACACACAAATTCACACAAGTCTGGGTGGCCGTTTCTACTGGAGCCTGGAACACCTGGGAGACAGAGCCATGCCACCCATTCAACTGAGAGGGAGGGACCTGAGACAGGGAGCCAGGCAATCTGGCTTGGCAGGTACCACCCCCACAAAACAAGCAGTCTGAAATGCCTGGACTGAAAGTTTCACAGCAACCAGCTGGACCCAGGACGAATACTAAAACAGATTTACAAGAAAAAAAACAAACCCATCCAAAAGTGGGAGAAGGATATGAACAGACATTTTCCAAAAGAAGACATACATGAGGCCAAGAAACATGAAAAATGCTCATCATCACCGGTTATTAGAGAAATGCTCATCAAAACCACATTGAAATAGCATCTCATGCCCCTTAGAATGGTGATCATTAGAAAATCTGGAGACAACAGATGCTGGAGAGGATGTGGAGAAATAGGAACACTCTTATACTGCTGGTGGGAGTGTAAATTAGTTCAACCACTGTAGAAGACAGTGTGGCGATTCCTCAAGGATCTAGAACTAGAAATATAATTTGACCCAGCAATCCCATTACTGGGTATATACTGGAAATTCTTTATAATAGAATAAATCATTCTCTTATAAAGACACATGCACACGTATGTTCATAGCGGCACTGTTTACAATAGCAAAGACCTGGAACCAACCCAAATGCCCATCAATGATAGACTGAACAAAGAAAATGCGGCACATATACACCATGGAATACTATGCAGCCATTAAAAATGATGAGTTTGTGTCCTTTGTAGGGACATGGATGAATCTGGAAACCATCATTCTCAGCAAACTGACCCAAGAACAGAAAATCAAACACCGCATGTTCTCACTCAAAGGCAGGTGTTGAACAATGAGAACACATGGACACAGGCAGGAGAGCATCACACACTGGGGCCTGTTGGGGGGATTACGGAGGGACAGCAGGAGGAGTGGGGAGGTCAGGGAGGCATAACATGGGGAGAAATGCCAGATGTAGGTGACGGGGGATGGAGGCAGCAAACCACATTGCCGTGTGTACCTATGCAACAATCCCGCATGTTCTGCACACGTACCCCAGAACCTGAAGTACAACAACAACAAAAAAAAGAGAGAAAAAAGAAGGAAAAAATGCCTACCTCTTTTATGACAAATTTGCATATCTGAGGAGGTGTGAAAATAGAAGTCATTAATGAATCTTGACTGCAACAGACAGAAACCTAAACCTTAAGCAAAAATTGGAATTTATCAGAAAGGTCATGTAACTACAGGAAGTAGAGCAGTTCATCGGGCCACAGACTCTCAGATGCCACCAAGCCCATCTCTGCCTCATCTCTTGCTTCAGCCTCTCACTCTGTGGCATCATGTTCTCTGACCAGCTTTCTCCCGATAGCAGGGAACAAAAGAAGATGAAGCCACCTGTTTCCTGTTTCCCAGCTTCATAATAAATGAGGAAATGTTATTTCTTTCCCTTTCTCCAGGTTAAACAATGATAGGAAAAATTGTGATGGCCCCGGCTTGGTTCTATGCCTGACTCAGGGAGGAATCATACATAATCAGAAGAAAAGTCTCCTAGGAATGGATCAGCTTAATGTCATACTCATGATGAAAAGGGAGATGAATTATTTAAGAACACGGAAGAACTGGGAGAATTACATAGCTGGGAAGCCAGAAGGAGCATTTCCCAAAGAAGGGGATTGCATATCTTAGTAAAGCTGAAGGAATACCAGACAGAGAAAACAATGGTGGCTCACGCCTGATATCCTAGCACTTTGGGAGGCCAAGGTGGGTGGATCACCTGAGATCAGGAGTTCAAGACCAGCCTGGCCATCATGGTGAAACCCCATCTTAAAAAAAAAAGAAAAAAACACTGACTCCATTTCAGAAAATACAACAACAGATTTGCTTTCTACAAGAAACAGGAGAAGTCATGTGCACACGTCTGCAAGTGTATTACATAATGCACACAAAACAAGGCATAAATTTTCATTCAATCTCATCCATTTTTGTAAAAATACGAAAACAAAACAAAACAGATTATAGCATGTAAGTACCTAAAAGGACACTACAAATCCCTAACTTCAATCTCATTTCTTTTTAGGTGAGGCAGCTAATGTCTACAGAAAAGCAACTCATTTAAAGCCACTATTTTGTGGCAGGTACCATGACCCCAAGTCCAGTGTTCTTCCTGTTTTGCCTAATATAAAAGCCTGATCCAAACTTGGTTAGTAAAATACCTCCAACATTCTGGACAATTAATGCCCATATTCTCTGATGTGCAGGGCTATTGCAGTTTTGAATCATTTTCTCTGTGCACAAAAGTCTCTCAATGGGAAGCCAATAAATAAAGTTTAAAATACCGTTGGAGAACAGGGGCCAAGGTAAGTTTTTTAAGTTTAGACACAGGAGTCCAGGTTTTAATCCTAATCTGCTACACTCTGCCTTAATTGCTTACGGGATAATTTAATTATTTAAATTGTAATGTGTCTCAAAACTACTGACTCTTGGCTCTCATACCCTGTATTTCCACAGAGCAGTGGAAAAGCCTGGCAAAAAGGGAAAGAAGAGGGTGGACCATGTCTATGTTCAGACAGAAAAATGAAAAGACGTGTTAGTCAGTTTTCACACTGTTATAAAGAAATACTCAAGACGGGGTAATTCATGAAGGAAAGAGGTTTAATTGAGTCCATTCCACATAGCTGGGGAGGACTCAGGAAAGTTACAGTCATGGTAGCAGGAGAAGCAAATGTGTCCTCGTTCACAAGGTGGCAGGAGAGAGAAGTACAGAGCACAAGGAGAAGAGCCCCTTATAAAACCATCAGATCTCATGAGAACTCACTCACTACCGTGAGACCAGCATGGGGGAACTGCCCCCATGATCCAGTCACCTCCCACGAGGTCCCTCCCCCAACACGTGGGGATTACAGTTTGGATTATAATTCAAGGTGAGATTTGGTGGGAGACACAGAGCCAGACCATATCAAGACATTTAGCGTAGAAAACAACATCCGAAACAGTTAACTTGATGCTAATTAGCCTCTGAAGGAAAAAGTAAAACGAACTCAACTAAGTTCAGTCTTAATGCTATTAGAATTATTAATTATGAGTATAACTGAGCTCTTCTCATCTCTCGGATTATTTAAATACCTTAAAAACTCTAATGGAATTGCTAAAACATTGTAGGGATGCACTTTACAGCTTGTGCGGGAAAAGTTGTCTTCTTGCAATGTCAATTTACAGACTGAAAAGAAAAACAAACAAAATGTCCAGAAGTACTTTGTGCTGTTTACAGCGGAGTTTACTCTAGAGTTTGAACAGCAATCTCAGGAGGCAGCATATTTCGAAGTAGTTAGCACGTAGATATTTAAAGCCAGTGAAATAAAAGAGAGAGGCCGGGGAATGCAGGCCTGTGTCACGCCAGCATGCTCAGAGGTCTAAGAGAATCTGAGAAGGAAATGACAGTGAGGTAGAAGGAGCCAAGGGAGAATAATAGCTTAAAATCCAAGGGAAGAAAGCATTTCGATGTGTTTGAAGTGGTCAACTACGTCAAAAGATGGAGTAAGATGAAAAGAGAGAATTGATTTTTGGATTTGGCTATGTGGGAGTTGGAGATCTTGACAGGCACTCATTCATAAGAGTGATATGAATACAACTTTAATTGGAGGGGTTCAGGAGAAGATGGGAAGAGAGGACACTCAGGCTGCCAATTACATGAGCTTAACTATAAAGGGGAGCAGAGACATGGGGAGGTAGCTAGAAGGAGACGTATGGTGTATGAAGGTTTTTTGTCTTTCCAGGACAGGAGACATAAGAGCATGTTTTCATGTTAATAAGATGACTCTGTAAAGATGGAGAAATTCATAACACAAGGGAAAGAGGGGCCAGTGGCAGGAGGAACAACTTTGAGTAGGCGTAGAGAACAAGATCCAGTGCACAGGTGAGAGAGTAGTCCTTAGACAGGAGCACGGACAGTTCATCTGAGGTAGCAGGCAGGACAGGAGAATACAGGGGCCAGTAAATTTGGTAGGGAAAGTGTGTGGGAGTACTTTTCGGATTGCTGATACGTCCTCAATATCATAAAAAGGTGTTAGCTGAGAATGCAATGGAGGTGACAGGGGTGGGGAACTGAGAAAAGAGGAAATACTCATCCAAAACGGCGAAAGAGTGAAAGGCTTGGGAGGGAGATCGTGGGAATAGCTAGATGAGTAGGATCCAGTCGGGGGGTTTGATGTGTTTCTCCAGCAATATCCACTCGCCTGCTCACAAATGTGAGTGTGTTTCAAGAACGTCAGATTTCACATAGGTTAGGACTCTGCCAAGAAGAGAGAGAGGGCAAGCTGCGTACAGAGAGAAATAAGGATGTGTGTTTTGAAGAAGACCAAAAACTAGGGTTTGCAGAACTGTTGGGGCTGAAATCCCAGCAGAAATTCATTGAAAATATAGGGGACGGTATTTGAAAAGAGGGCAACTCGAGATTTAGTTTACACAAGGGGTCCAGTTAGCAGCAGCAACGAATATATAACCAAGAGAGTGGATGGATAAGGTAAACTGAAAGACAAAAATCACTGAAGGAGGAGTCACGGAACCAACAGTCCATGGTATTAAAAGGATCAACTACACGTACGTGTGCATTAAGAGAGGTGGCGCTATACTGCAGTAACAACCCCAGTGCTTCAGTAGTAACAAACCCCACGTTTCTAATGCATGCGGAGTGGAAGCTCAGCAGCTCTACAAGCCTGGTCTCTCCACTGAGTGACTTAGGGAGTCCGTTTTGGGCTCTGCATCTCAACATGTGACATCTATAGTCACTGTTCAAAGGGAATCGAGTGGAGATGGCTCATGGACTTTTAAATACTCTGCCTCAAAAATGATACTTGTTATTTCTGCTCACCGTATCATTGTCTGGAGCGAGTCATACAGCCCCACTCCCTGTACCATGTCCAATAACACAGGGAGTATGTCTGGCTGCCACAGTGTCAACAGTTTCTCCTTAAAAATTATCAAGGAGTAACATGTGAGGGAAAGATGGTGAACCAGGTGCTAAATTCGTCAAAGAATGAAGGGAATTCACCCAGAAGGTCAGATGTGACTACAACAAAAGAATGAGCAGGTCGTAGAGACTGTTGGCATGAGAAGCCAGGGAACTGTGGGCTCATCTGCTAGAAATTGCCTTCTCTTTATACTAAACCGTCTGAAAGCTGTGTACATGACATCAAATATCTGGATATGAATGAAATAATCATCAAGATCTTTCCTAAGGCATTACATCTTAAGCTACTCAGAAATCGGCTGTTGATGAATCTGATTAATACAGAGTTAGCCATGTTTCCTTAGAGGACCACCAGGTTTTAAAGAACGAAAATATGGGAATAATAAAACCTTACTGAACATAATTTATTCTTTCTTTGACAATTTAGAAGGCATCTTTAGCTCCCATGGTGACTTAGGGACATGCCTATGAACATCAATTACAGTTGAACTGCAGATATGCAAGGCAATAACTCATGTGGGCTCTCTGCACACTTGGAGCTGAAGCAGGGCCTTAGGAAGAGTAATGACGGTGGAGAATGGAAGGGTCAAGAGCTGGGGAAACTAACCAGGTGGCAGGACTTACTCCCAAGAGTAAAACCAGCAGTTGAAATAATAAAGTTCAGGGAGGTGAGGAACTGGGTTTCAAACAGGGCTGATACATACATCTAGGAGGTACCCTCCAGGTGCTGGGAATACGAGACCAGAAATCTCCATTTACCATGCAGGCAGATCATATGTCTCCAATCTAATAGGTTAATTGGTTGGAAGCAGATATGGAGTATCCAAGTATTGGGATTTCTTTCTAAGTTGTGGTTTATTAACCTGGGGCTGGGCCTTTCAAAGGACCAAGCAAGCTAGTAATCATTGTGAAGTCCAGGATAGGGGTCTGATTTTACCAGGAAATTGAAAGGCAAACCAGGAAACCAGGGAGTTAAGCGCAGGAGGAGAGGTGGGAAGAAGGGGCCTGCGCTTAATGAGCATCCCAGATCTCCCGCTCCAGCCAGCACGTTGATTCCAGAGTACAGTCACCTGGAGACGAGACGCCGCCTCTACTGTGGTTTCAAGGGGAAGGAGACAGAAAAGTAAGGAGGAGAAAATGTCTTGGTTGGCTTTGGGTAGGGCTTAGCCTCGGGCTCATTTTCTTGGGAGGCAGGGAGGGACAGGTTGGAGAATGAAGGAACTGACGTGCAGAAATGTAAGGCAAGGAAAATTCAGATTTACTCTACTGGAATGTCAGAAGTGTTCTCTGCAGAGGCTGCAGGATTCCATACCCCACCCCATCTGTTTCCCAAGGACTGTAGTTCTGCCCCTCTGTTCCGAGGCTAGGCCAATACTCAAGTTAGGGTAACGGAAGAAGATAGTTTTTGTAATGCAACTTCATTCACAAAAAAGAGTCAAAGAATGTTTTTAGTTTAATCAGGGATTTACTTAAATTCTTATTTGTCTTATAGGTGTTCGGCCTGTCTTAGTTCCTTTCCTAAAACCTCATGAATTTAAATCTCCTGCTGTCTCCGAAAACCAGATGGAACTGAACCTGGACGGAAGAACTGAGGGCAGAAGGAAGTAGGTGCCTGCGTGGGGCGTGGTGGGAGGCAGGAGAAAGGTATAAGACATTTAAAAGACTGAGGAGTTGGGAGGGAAAATGTGAGGACAGGGGAATGGGGGTGGGGCAGAGAGGAGCGAAGAAGGGAAGAGGAGGAGCAAGACACTAGCTGGGGGAGGATTTCACATCTACCAGTAGAAAGAATCTGTGCGGAAGCACCGGGAATCCGTGAGGAAGCCCACCTACTGAGGAGTGAGCTAGGTGCCCTGAAGGAGTAGAAAAGTATTCCCAGATGTCGCCCCATGGCTGAACAATCCAGAGAGGGGCCGGGCGATGCCGAGGAAATCAGACATTTTCAAAGACCCCCGACAGTTGTGGAACTGCTAGTGCGGTCAAGGTAAATATTATCCACAGACTTCTTTTTACATAGAAAGGGCCATGTAGAGTTTTTGTGTTTCAAATTTATTTTATTTTTCTTTATTAAAGTTTTAAAAGATACATAATTTGCCTTAAGTCTTTAGGTTCAATTTGCAAACCTTCTCATCTTATTTCTAAAACTAGTAAATGTATAAAACAGGGCAGGTTTTGCCGGGAACCTGGATTAGTGTTTCATCTACTCAAGTTACACAATGTAAATTCCCCTTAAAACAACCAATCTCATTTTAAAACTTAGCTAATTAAATTCCCTTAATTTTAAACTTCATTTATAAATGAAAGTACCCAGTCTCATATGCCTGAGTGGGTAAATGTGTGAGCTTAACAAGCAAAATCTTTCCAAATTCTGAACAAATCTTTAAAGTTAAATAAATTAAAATGACAAATACAACGAGTTTTAAATTCTTTTAAGCATGCCAATACTGATTACAAACTTACTGGTATGCGTTTCGACAAGAATGAAAAATTACCAGAATCAGTTGCATGTTTAAAATCGGAATCAAGAGGCTGATTTCTCAGATTTCATTTCGAGCCTTGTCATTCGGTGTGGTCGGGGGTGGTGGTGGGGGGGGGGGGGGCAGCAGCACAGGAACACCTGCAGCTCATTAGGAACATGGCCTCTCCGGTCCCACACAGAACTAACTCAATCTATAGCACCACTCAAGAGAGGGCAGGAAGGGGTATTTCCTTCAGTTTTTGAGCTGATATAGGTGCCAGGGTCATATGGTTTATTGATTCAGCCATTTTTCCTTCTCTTTCTTCCATTTTAGTAGCATACAGCAATCCAGAAAGCAAATCATATCGATCTTGTATTAAAGTTTTCTAACTAGAAGACGCAGAAATACTGTGGTTTAAAAGAACCAGTGGTCCTGGTGAAAGATAGGTCTGATCAATCTTCAGAACCATACTGGGCAGAAAAGGAAGAGAAGGAACTTTTTAGAAACGGACCCCCTTGCGGAGTGGAAGTTATTGTCTGAATCAGCTGCACACAATAGACATTCCTGGCAGGGGTTTCTCTGGGTCAGGTGTCAAAGCCTTCTAGATAGTGGATGGGCACTGTGGCAAGTTGGCATAGTCACGTTTCTTGAACTGAAAAGGATAAAAAGAGAATGTCACATAATCAATACCTGGCCACAATGAGCAAGAGCTAGCTTACCCTGAGCCTTGGTGGGTCCGTGTGTGGTGCTTATCTGGGAAGAGGAATAAGATCAAGTAGGCGTGAAACTCTCGCATGAAGGGTCTTACCGTGGGGTTCGGGGCTACCTGCTGGCATGGTAGTGACATTGGAAGGCAAAGCCCTGCCATGGCCCCTCCATCAATAATGGAGACATGGAGACATGGAGACAGGGTCCTCCAGAAGCAGGATATGCTAGAGAGGCAGCCCCCTCCTGGGGCTTGCGAAGGAGGAGGAAGGTGACAGAATCAGAACAGACCATGTCGGAGGCTTCACAGTACCTGGGAGAAGTACAGAATTTGGGCCTACGCACAGTTTCTTATGCCTGTAATTCTGGCACTCTGGGGCCAAGGTGGGAGAATCACTTGAGCCCAGGAGTTTGAGATCAGCCTAGGCAACATGGAATAACCCCATCTCTACCAAAAGAAACACAAAAAGTTAGCTGGTGTGATGGTGCTCACCTGTAGTTCCAGCTACTTGGGTGAGTGAAGTGGAAGGAGCACTTGAGCCCAGGAGTTTGGGATCAGCCTAAGCAACACAGAAAGACCTCATTACTTCCAAAAAAATTGAAAAAAAAGTTAGTCAGGTGGTGCACAGCTGTAGTTCCAGCTATTTGGGTGATTGAGTGGGGAGGATTGCTTCAGCCCGGGAGGTCCAGACTGCAGCCCGCCTTGACTGCCACAGCACTCCAGCCTCAGCAAAGCAAACACCAGTTCCGTTCATCTTCTGTTCACATTGTGCTGCTAAAATGCATGCCACACCCAAAGGTGTTTTAAGTTTCGGCCCAAAGAGAATTCCTTATAAATAAAATCCATATTTCCCTGGTACCCTGTGAGTCTTGGAGGCAGAACTTCACGTTCACCCCACTGTCATTTAAACTTCTGTTTTATAACTGACTACAACTCCCAGAAGTCTAGTGGCTCAAATTTCCCCTGGAGGTTTTTGTTACATAATTACTAAATTAAAATAATTTTGTGTAGGAATACATTTAAATGAAACATGTTTTCATTCAAAGTCCAGAGTGAAATTATAGATTTGGTGTCCCTACCGTGTCCAGTAGCCAATGTCATCTTTTTTCATTTGTGCTGGACTGGCCCGATTTATTAGAACCTGTTTGAAACCAAGGTCATGTCTGTAACAGACAAATTAGTTTTAATTTCAACAATCAATATGCTTTTGAAAATCACTGCAAGGACAAACGAATACATTTGAGAATACAGAACTGAGTTCCTTTTAATTTGATAACAAGATATCTGGAATAACAGTGAAGATTTTCCCCCATTAATTTTCTACACAATGCTAAATATGTAACTAGCTTAAAGCAAACATATCAGTTGACTTAAATATTATTGTTCCTGAATGCAAAATAGTTTTCAGGTACCAAAAAAAAAAAAAGAAAAGAAAAGTACTGGCTAAAAAGGGGCCATCCCCATTAATTTGTTTTCCAATTACTGGAATATCAATATAGTCTGTTGCCAATAAACAGTGTCATTAGGTTTTTCTCATGAGGGTTAATTAATGGTAACAACCAGCGATTGACATTAGAAAGGAGAAGGCAGGAGCAAAGTTCTTTCTTGAGCCGGACGATGTTTCCTCTATATATTTGTAGGCTACAAAATTGAAAAATAATTTACCATTAGAGTTACACTACAGTGGGCTGTGACATATAACATATTGTTCTTTGAGTTAAAAATATTCTACCACCAAGGATGGATGTATCCTCAGGCGGCTTGTGTGCTATACCAGTGGACCTGTAACTGAAGCAGTTGCTCTGCTCAGGGGAGAATTATCGCTACCTATTAATTTATGGTTTAGAGAATGTTTTGGCGATAAAGCTGAAAAATTAATTTCAGATTGGTCTCAAAGGGGTTGCTTTTAATAGTTCTATTAATTCACTTTGGGGGATCCCTGTTAAAGTTTATGAAAACAGCAAAGACTCACTAGCCCATCTGTAATCTAGATATTATTCCAAACAGACCTCATCATTCTAATTGGAGTTATTAGAACCCACTTCAATTTGACCAGTAATAATTCACATTTCTATAGTACTTCAGTTCACAAAGCGCTTTTTCATTATCAAATTTTGAAATCATCACAACAATCTAATGAAGTGTATTTGTTTCTTGTTACTACAACAACAAATTACAACTAACTTAGTGGTCTCAAACAACACAAATTCATTTCATTACTCCGTCAGAAGTCCAAAATAGGTTTCATGAGCTAAAATCAAGGTGTTGGCAGGTGTGCCTTCCTTCTGGAGGCCCTAGGGGAGAATCTGTGTCCCTGCCTCTTCCAGCTTCCAGAGGCCACCTGCATTCCTTAGCTCACGGTCCCGTCCACCTTCACAGCCAGGTGTTGCTTAGGCTGCATCACTCTGTTTCTATTCTTGCATCCCCACCCCTGTTTTATTTATAAGAACCCAAATAATTACAATGCCCATTCTCCCAGGCCATCTGGGATAATCTCCCCATATCAAGATTTCGAATTTCATTACATCTGAAAAGTCCCTTTTACCATGTGACCTAACATAGTTACAGGTTCCAGAGACTAAGTCGTAGACATCTTTGAGGTCATGATGGTGCCTAGCCCAAGTCGAAGTATTTTCAACATTTTCATCATTAGTGATGGCGATACTAAGAGTAGATTATTTTACAGATGAGGCAAACAAGATGAAAAGAGGCCTAGTCACTCAATTACAATAACTCTGTTACTAGCACACAATACTGTAATTTAAAACCAGTGTTCAGATGTTCATCTGCTTGTTCAACTCCATCATGATGTTAGTCCAAAAGAAAAGTTCCTCTAAGCATTAGTATTGAAGTTTGAATGATACATCCAGTAATTATCTTAGGTCATTTCCAAAAATGTTGCTTCAGGGCTTATTGTCAATAATGCCCACCATATTTTTGATTAATGAACATTAGTGATAATTCTAGTTGTGGCAGCTCTGATAATGTACATATTTACAGAGTCCCCTAAAAAAGTGAAAAAGTTTTATGCTCCTGTAGCATAAAGTAAACTGCTTAAATTTTGTATTTTCACATATTATTACAACTATGTAAACATCGAGAAAGTCAAATGAAATAATCCGTAGCTCACACCTTAAACAGGAAAAGACCTATTAAGTGGTAAAAGAGGAATTTGGCATTCATTCCCAAGTTTAGGGTTTTTAAATAAGATCTTTTGTTAGCACCACGAGTGAAGAAAAAGTGTAGCTGATATTTTAAAGTACAACTGAAGTCAATATATTTGCTATGTGTGTTATTTGGAAGGGATACCAAGAAGATGGTTTGGGCAGGGTTCAGATGAGCTTTGGGATTTGACAAATACTAGCCTTAAATGTAAACAATTAGTGAGTGATGTGAGCACATAAATTTACCAAAGCAGGCCAGAGAAACCCATGCCTCACCT